TAAATGGAGAAAAATACACCTTTTTTTAAAAAAAATGATTCCTACTAGTTTTTCACCAGTAGGAGATTAAAACCATAATTCTCGTAGATTCGAGGATAATCCTGGGTGGGTTAGTTTAAGCCTAGTGACTAAATGCCAGGCAGCCACTGTGATCCATTTATTAATCTGATAAATTTTCATAGCGATTGTCACTCACATATCTTCTTGTGTCCAACACAAAACTACAGCTCACACTGACACAGAACAATAAGCTAGCAGTAGCCCAGCACAGAGGCCACCTTTAGAGCCTCTACTTTTGATAAGACCTTGACTGCCTGGTGCTTTGTAAGGAGCTTGGAAACTGCTCACATTAGGCCTAATGTGCATACACTATAGAAAATAGCCTTGTCTGAACTCCCTGACGCATGAAGAGGGTGTGAATGAGCACTAGCAAGGGGGGCAGATGTTTCTATTGTTCTCTTTCAGAGCTCCTCAGCAAACTAGCTTGACAGGTCAGGCAAGAGTGTGGCACTGTGCGGTTTGATATTAAAAACATTCCTTTCCTTCAATTCAACGCGCAGTCCAGAGTTACAATTAAGCCTGATTCCTGCATACATGCTAACCTATGTTCATAACACACATTACATGCTCACACATATACATTGTACAATGTTGATCTTGCTTTTTGTACACCTTCTTTGCAGCCCTAACTTTGTATTCCTCGCTCTGTTCAATCATCCTGTGATCTTTGTATGGTATGATCTGCCTGTACTGCATGCAAAACAAGACTTTTCACTGTACTTAGTTACATGTTACAATAATAAATTAGTCAAAGCAAACTGGATATGCTGGAAAAGCTCAGGTCTGGCAGCATCTGTGGAGACATGAAAATGAATTAACACCTTGAGCCCGATGTGATTCTTTTCTGGAATTTTGCTTTATACGTATTTCTGGGAGTGTACATTGCTGCCATTATTTACAGCCAAAAAGAAGTTCCTAATTAATAATCATGTTTGGAGTCTGTGCTGCTTTAAGTGACTAGGATGAATATTAGGCACAGAATACTTTGTACATAAAAAGTTTGTTTCCAGGTGCTGGATTTTATCAGGAGTTTCAATCATGAGTTCTGGAAAAAGATTTTAGCTAGCATGAACTCCAAGGTGGCCATATTAGATGATATTGATATTGGTTTTCTTACAAAGAGGGTGGTTCACGTGTGCAATGAACATCCTGAGGAAGTGGTGGATGCGGGTACAGTCACAATGTTTAAAAGACACTTAGATATGTACATGAATAGGAAACGTTTGGAGGGATATGGGATATCGGAGCGGGCAGGGTGGGACCAGTTTAGTTTGGGATTATGTTCAGCATGGACTGGTTGGACCGAAGGATCTGTTTCCATGCTGTATGACTCTATGACTCTACAGGTATTATTCCGTTTTCCTACAAATCCACTTTTCAACCCTCTCTATCTCTATGGCCCTGATCAAAACCAATGGTGTCCTATGTGACTGGGCTCATCTCAAGCCCTCGTCCAAAGCCCTTCATCCGATGTCCAGAAAGGGGGGTTACATCAGGCAAAGAGTCACAGTACAGGCCTGTAATGTCCTGTCTTCCCATTCACATGCATTTCCTTCTGTAGTACTCCAACAGTCTGCTCTCCACCCACCCTCAAGTGCCACATGGACATTATTGATGCACAGCTCTCCATAGCTGGATGCACAGATAAGTTGTGGCATTTCGTTATATTAAAACAGTGATTACACTTCAAAGGAACTTCCCTTGCTGTGAAGTGCAGTGGAATGTCGTGAAGTCATGAAAGGCGCTATAGGAATGTATGCTCTTTCTAATGTTAAGCAAAGTTTAAAAAGAACAATATGCAAACAACAAGTGTACGCAGGAAATCCATCAATATTTTGTTGTGCTGCCAAAATTTCATATCAGAGCCTTTTGCAACTGAAGGAAATAATTTATTTCCCTGGTAGAATGTGAATAAGATCATTTATTATAGTAAGAAATGAAAGCATTGTATGATAGAACACTGGCTAATAAATGCAACACTTGTTCCAACAGACTGTGCTCTCTAGCCCCACTCTGTCTGTCCCAACAATGAACCAATGCTGAACGAGACTGTTCAAGACTTTGACAACATCATTACCCCTGAGCTGTGCTTCCAACACCAATGTTCTGAGGAAAGGTCACTGTACCTGAAACATTAACTCTGTTTTTTCCTTCACAGATACTGCCAGACCTGCTGAGCTTTTCCAGCAACTTTGTTTTTCTTCCAACACCATGGTTGCTCTATTACCAACTTCAAGACTCAATGATTCCAAAGCTCTCCAGGCTGGCCTCCCACCTTGAACTCTCCATAAACTTTGCTTCAAAACTTGATTAAGAGCATGAGGAAAAGAAGCAAGAGTAGACTATTCTGTCCTCTAAGCCTGCTCTGCTATTCAAAAATATATACATTTTGATACATCTATAGTGACCCCAACTGATACTACCATTATTTTCTAAGTATCCTATTATCACATTCTTTATTATAGACCCTGGCATTTCCCAATGACTGATGTTAAGCTAACAGGTCTGTAGTTTCCTTTTTCTTTCTTCCATCCTTTCTTAATTTGTGGGGTTCCATTTGCAACTTTCTAATCTGCAGGGACCATTCCAAAGTCTACACCATTTCAATACTCTGAGCTGTAGACCATCAGGTCCAAGGGATTTCTTTACTTTCAGTTCCATTAATTTCTCAAGAATTACTTTTTTTTAGTAGCAGCAATATCTTGTAATTCCTCATTGGCACTAGATCCTCAACCATCCATTATTTCTGGAAGATTTTTTAGTACTTTCTTCTGGGAAGATCAGGTACAAAGTATTTGCTTAATTTTTCTGCCATTTCCTTATTTCCCATACAAATTCTCATGACTGGTTGTATGGGCCTACATTTATTTTTACTGATCTTTTACTTTTTACATACTAGTTGAAGCTTTTATTGTTATAATGTTTCTCACCATGATTCTCATATTCAATTGTCCCTTTTTGATTGAACATCATCACTCTCTATCATAATATTGTAACTTTTATCCCTACAGCTCCTTTACAACAAGATTATTCATTTTCCATTTATCATTGATGTAAAATAGGCTAGTCTCTATTTAGATCCTAAATGTACTGCTCTAGAAAACCATTTTGTATTTTGCTTTCACAAAGAAACTGTCCCTTATTGCCCTGTAAACATTGATGTGTGCCAACCTTGAGGCTGTTAAGCTCCTTGACTAAGCTTGACACAATAAACAATGATGAGGCACGGCTAAATGAAGCCAATGTAATGTGAAACATTTATAAAGAAACTCATGTTTCAAAATCAGCCATTACAATGATTCTAATCACCCATTCACCAAATCAAGGAAGCTGGAGTCAATCTGTCTTCCACAACTGGTTATTTACGTCTCAGAGATCAATACAAACTCCCAGCTGCTCTCTCCCATTTCCTAACCAACTGTCATTGCCAGGGAAAAGAGCCATAGAGTCATAAAGCAGACAAACAGACCACCGGGTCCAACTCATCCATGCTGACCAAGTTTCCCAAGCTAAACTAGTCCCATTTGTCTGTGTTGGCCCTTCACATGCCTTCTTTACCACTCTGTTCCACCTGTGACACAATTTTCAATGAACTATGTACCTGAATCCCTAGGTCTCTCTGGTTTACAGCATTCACCAGGGACCAGTCTTTCTTTTTAAACAAACCTCCACCAGATTACCCGTTTGACGAATTAAGCAAATAACAAAATACAAGCACTGCCCACCAGGCCAGTGCAACAATAACAAAATGGGCGGGAAGGTAAAGAGGGAGGGAACTAAATTCCAGTCCCCACAGCGCCTACCTCTTTCTAAATGCCTCAAGGGCGTTAGTGAAAAATGCAAGCTTCCTCTCCGAGGACGCCTGAACGTGAACCTTGAGAAAACAGCCTTTAAAAAATGATCCAGTGCAGTGCTTTTCCATATGATTTCAGGTAATGCCGGAATGGAATATCGAACAGCAACAAGGGAAAAAGAGTAGGTCATTTAAGCTCTCAAACCTGCAATCATTTAGATTGTGGCTAATTTATACCTGCTGCATTCACATTTTTCTCTAATCATTCACGGGATGAGGGCGTCGCTAGATAGGCAGCATTTATTGCCCATCCCTATTTGCCCAGAGGGCAGTTAAGAGTCAACCACATTGCTGTAGGTCTGGTGTCACATGTAGGCCAGACCAGGTAAGGATGGCAGTTTCCTTCCTAAAAGGGCATTAGTGAACCGGACGGGTTTTTCCAACAATTGACAATGGATCATAGTCATTGTTAGACTCTTAACTCCCGATATTTATTGAATTCAAATTCCACCATCACTAATCCCTATTATCTCACACACCTAGATTAGGTAACAGTTCAACTGTATAAACTCAAAGAAACGTAAAACAGGTTTATGTAACTTTAATGCATAATTTAATCCTTCAGTTTGTTTTATTTTTAATGAATCTCTGCTGTATCCACATGCCAAAGCTTTCCAGAAATTTGTTGCCCAGAACTGAACAAATTGCACTAGATTGGGTTGACCAAGCATTAGCACAACTGAAGCATAATGTCCCCATTTTTGAATTCTAAACATCCGGAGATAAAGGCTTTCTGATTACATTCTGAACCTGTAAATAATCTTTTGGATGATTTGTAGCAATACCTTTACTCCTCCTTGGTTTCTAGTCACTCACTAGAAAACATTCCAGTTGGTCTTTCTCAGATCCAACATGGATCTGCCCCAGTCAGCCACTCATTTATTTTCCAAGTTGTTACCATTCACTGTAAAAAAAAGTTTTTACGTTCCACCTTGCATCTCTTGCCCAAAACCTTAAATACATTTCCCCTATTTATTGTACCATCAGTTAATAAGAAGGTGCAGGGCTGGATGAACACAGCAGGCCAAGCAGCATCATAGGAGCAGAGTTAATAAGAACCCATTTTCTTTATCCATTTCACCTATACCTGTTGTAATCTTGTACAGCTCTGTCAAATCTCCCCTTTGCTTCAAGAAGAGTAACTTCAGTTTCTTCATGCCAACTTGGTCACTTTTATTCCTGCAAGAGCAGGAATAAGGGAAAGATCAAACTTGTGCAATGTTCTTCATGAGTCACAGGTAGACAGGGTGGTGCCGAAGACTTTTTGCATGCTTGCTTTCATCAGTCAGAGCATTGAGTATAGGACTTGGAATGTCTTGTTGCAGCTGTACGCAACATTGATAAGGCCACATTTGGACCACTGCATGCAGTTCTGGTTGTCCTACAAGAGAAAGGATATTACTGAACTAGAAAGGGTGCAGAAAAGATTTCCTACGATACTAACTGGACTGGAAGGTTTGAGTTGTAAGGAGAGGCTGGATAGGCTGGGACTTTTTTCCCTGGAGTGTAGGACACATGAGTATTGACCTTATGGAGGTCTGTAAATTAATGAGAGACACAGATAAGGTTTTTGTCCGTCCTCCCTGGACTGACATATCCCCTTCCTGTCCGTCCTCCCTGGACTGACCTATCCCCTTCCTAACTCCCTACCTACACTCACCTTTACTGGCTCCATCCCCGCCTCTTCGACCTGTTTGTTTCCTCTCCACCTATCCTCTCCTCTATCCCTCTTCTATCCGCCTCCCACTCTCTCCCTATTTATTTCGGAACCCCCTTCCCCTCCCCCTTTTCTGATGAAGGGTCTAGGCCCGAAACGTCAGCCTCTCTGCTCCTATGATGCTGCTTGGCCTGCTGTGTTCATCCAGCCCTGCACCTTGTTGTCTAAGGTAGATAGCCAACAGCTTTTCCCCATGGTAGGGGAGTTTAAAACTAGGGGCATAGGTTTAAGGTGAGAGGGGAGAGGGTCCAGAGGGGTAACACTTTCACACAGAGGGTGGTGAGTGTCTGGAATGAGCTGCCAGAAGTACTGGTAGAGCTGAGTACAATTTGTTCATTTTAAGAAACATTTGGACAGGTATTTGGATGGAATAGGTATGGAGGCATAGAAATCAAACGCAGGTAAATGGGACTAGATAAATTGTGAAAAGTGGGCAGCATGGAAAGTTGAGCCTAAGAGACTGTTTCCATGCTGTGCACCTCTATGATTCTCTGACTCTATGATCTCAGAACATCCCAAAGCACTTTACAGGCAAAGAAATATTTCAGAAGTGTAGCCACTATTGTAGAAAAGGAAGACAGGTGCAAATTTCACAGGACAATGTGATAATAAGCAAATAATTGGTTTTAGCAATGCTGATTGAAGGATAAATATTAACCAGGAGCACGTGGTCTTCTTTGAAGAGTGGATGGACAAGTAGGGTCTTGGTTCAATTTGTTACCAGGAAATAGCAATTCAGGAGGTGCAGCGTAGATTATATGCTGGTGTCTTTTGATGGGACTGGAGACCACAGCCTTCTGATTAAACAGTAACAGTGACACTCAGCTATGGCCGAACTACAGTGGGAATGTACAGTCATTCCTCCATGTCCACGAGGATTCCTTTCTGAGAATGATGAAATTCGCAAGTCTGGAACTCATTTTAAAGTAAGTTAAAAATAAGTTAAAAATGGCTGAGATGTGAGCTTTGCCTGCAGATGTTGAATTTTTTTGCTGCTTATGTTTTGGTGCGGATTGGTGAATTTGCAATTCGCAATTTTGTGGACACTGCGGATTTGCTATAAAATAACAAATAGTGTGGGCAACACAGTGTTTCAGTGGTTAGCCCTGCTGCCTCACAATACCAGAGATCTGGGTTCCATTACACCGTCAGGCATCTGTCTGTGTGGACTTTGCACATTCTCCCCGTGGCTGCATGAGTTACGACCTGGTGATCCGGTTTCTTCCCACAGTCCAAAGGTGTGCACATAAGATGGATTGGCCATGCTAAATTTCCTGTCATGTCCAGGGATGTGTAGTTTAGGTGGATTATCCAGGGCAAATGTAGGCTTACAGGGGTAGGGTGGGGGGTGGGTCTGGATGGGATGCTCTTTAGAGCGTCGGTGAAGCTCGATGGGCTGAATGGCCTGCTTCCACACTGTAGGGATTCCATGCTTCTATGAAGGTCGTGGATTTTGAGAGACTGGTAAATCAGGAAGGCACTTGGCTGATTCAGCTTAATGCAGTTACACTTCATGCAACATATTTCAGGCGAAGTAACACTGGGGACAGTGTCATTGAATTGGAACTATTTCGAGGGGATGCAAGTGCATACTCACAAAACTTTGAAGTGACAATGCAATTATGAAGTGTTTGAGGTATTTGGCTTTATAAATAAGGGCACAATGTAAACTTGTTAAACTTTTACAAGTCCCTGGTGTGGTCTCAGCTTGGAAAATTACGTCCAGTACTGTACATCATATTTTACAAGGGTTGTTGGCACCTTAGAAAACATACAGAAGAGGTTGATAGGTATGATACCAGGAATGAGGGACTTCAGCTATGTGGAATAAGTGGGATTGTTCTCCTTAGAGCAAAAAATATTAAGTGAGACTTAACAGAAATATTCAAGATTATGAGACATTTTAATGGAGCAAATATGGAGAGAATGTTTCCTCTGGCATGAGGAGCAATAATCAGAGGTTATAGGTTTAAAATAGTTGGGAAAAGATCTACAGGTGAAATGACAGGAAACTTTCTCGCACTTAGGGCTGTTGTATTCTGCAATGAGCTACGGTGGTCAAAGCAGAAATCTATTGGAATTTTTAGTTATCTCCTTGAGGAGAACTAATTTATGGGGTATTATTTGATTTGATTTATTATTGTCACATGTTCCTAGGCACAGAGAAAAGATTTGATTTTCCTGCAGTACAGGCAGATCAAACCATACAAAGTGCATTAGGGTAATAGAACAGAGTGAGGAATACAATGTTACAGCTGCAGAGAAGGTGCGCAGAGAGTGAGATCAACATTAAATTCAAAATTTGAATGGCCCATTCAAAAGTCTAATAACAGCAGAGAAGAAGCTGTTCTCTAATCTGTTGGTATATGTGTTTAAGCTTTTGTATTTTCTGCCTGACGGAAAAGGTTGGAAGAGATTACAACTGGGGTGGGTGGGAGGTGTCTTTGATTATGTTAGCTGCATTCCTGAGGCAGCGAGAAGTATAGATGGAGTCAATGGATGGAAGGTTGACTTGTGTGATTAACTGGGCTGTGTTCACAACTCTCTGTAGTTTCTTACAGTCCTAGCCAGAGCAGTTGCCGTACCAAGCCGTTATGCAGCCAGAAAGAATGCTTTCTATGTTGCATCTATAAAATTTGGTAAGAGTCTTTGCTGACACACTGAATTTCCTTAGCCTCCTGAGGAAGTAGCGGTGTTGTTGTGCTTTCTTGACCATTGCATCAACGAAGGTAGACAAGGACAGATTGTTAGTGATCATTACTCAACAGAACTGAATTAGTCAGTTCTTTCAAAGGGCTAGAATTGGCATGATGTACTGAGTGGCCTCCTTCTGTGTGTTAAGACTCTATGAAAGGCAATCTGACTTATCCCTGAAGTACCAGAGCAAAACATGGGGCAGCCGGTTTTAGGTTTAAGGTGAGAGGTGAAACATATAAAAGGGGCCTAAGTGGCAAGTTTTTCACGCAGAGGGTGGTGCATGTATGGAATGAGTTGCCAGAGGAAGTGGTGGAGGCTGGTATGATTACAACATTTAAAAGGCATGTGGATGGATATATGAATAGGAAAGGTTTGGAGGGATATGGGCCAAATGCTGGCAAATGGGACTAGATTTACATAGGATATCTGCTGGCTTGGATGAGTTGGACCGAATGGTCTGTTTCCATGCTGTATATCCCTGTGATTCTATATATGACAACCTCTTGTTCTTGGACAAAGAGCTTGGACAGTCCATACCATTCCTGAAGGCAGAGTCAAAGCAGGAGTAATTCAGGCACACTAATCTCTCAATTATTTTTTATCAATCTCTTTTATGAAGTTGCGACATACCTCTGTGGCCGTCATGCCCTGAGGTGGGACTCAAACCTAGAACATCTGGCCGAGCATTCTGATCTCTATCTTTGCATTGTTATTGACTGAATCAACACACCAGTTAATTGTAAAATGCGCATCCACATGACTACTGGTTCATAGCAATGAGTGAATTAAAAAGGGGCAATTCTCCATTCTCAGTGAAGAGAGGCATATACAAGGAGTGAGTCTGGAGCTTACAGATTACAATTCAAAGCTGGTGAGCATCAATGCAACTTCAATGATAAAACCAGAAACGTCTTCAGTATTATCCAGATCCATCTGCAGCATTATAAATTGGAGGCAAGCTGCAGCCCTTCCCCCACACCGATGCCTCAGGAAAAGAAAGCATTTCACAGACAGGAGGAGCAACAAATTAATGTTGGCGGAAACAGCTTGAAACCTTTACATTGAGGAAGCAGCTGTTTGAGGAAGGGCCCACAGAACAACTCAGTTTCCCACTTTATTTTCCCAGTAAAGAACCCAGCCCACTCGCGCTGTGTAGTCTGTAAATAACAACTAGACTGCGTGGGCTGGATCAGCAGGAGTGTGCAAGCCAAGTCATGTTTTACTAACATTGCATTCACATTGTGCAACCAGGAAGATAAAAATTAGGTGAACGTTTACAGTGGAGGGAACAACCCCCCAAAGATTCAGATTGTCATAGAAAATTGTTAAATTAAAGGCCTTAAGTACTTCGGTGACAACATGTTACAGCTTAGATTTTCTGGGGAAAGTAAATAAGCCATATTTATATTGTGCCTTTTACACCCTCAAAACATCCTAAAACTCTCCATAGTTAAGCTTTGATTAGTTTTGAAGTGAATTTATTACACCACTGAAAGCAATATTTATCTATTCTGTCAGCAAATACTGGAAAGGAAATGGTAGAGCAAACTGCTGGCTAAATACAGAAAGTTGCAAATACTGTAGCGTAGTGGTAACGTAGGACTTGGGTTATTCCAAGAAAAACCGAAAGAACTGCGGATGCTGTAAATCAGGGACAAAAACGGAAGTGGCTGGAAAAGCTCAGAAGGTCTGGCAGCATCTGTGAAGAAAAAAATCAGAGTTAACATTTCGATGACCCTTCCCTTTGTTTTGCAGCAAGCC